TCTTTTGACTTTTGATTATAACAGTAACAGTTGTCTAATAGCAGTCGTACAACACACCATTCCATCATTCCATAAAAATGAATTGACGACAAAATGTGTGCCTTCGTCATACAAAAACTTGTCTCATCATCTCATACATCATAAAAAAACACAAACACACACCGAATATCGATTTTTCATGACAAGGCTTACTGGCGCATGGCCACTAGTGACGAAGCATCCTTCACTGTTAATCACGAACTGAACTACTGATTAGCTAAGATGTCCTGATCAACATCGTGCATTCAGCGAATAACTGAAAATTTGTTGTCCTTGTCAGTGGTGACTATCGAAGCTATACTTTTTTTTTAATTCGTCCTTCGCCTACATGTATGATATCCAGTAAAACGCTGCCAATAGCTTGGTAACATCTCATGATCGCCCACCTATCAGGTGCTGGTGAGCTGTTTTGGGATCGTATTCAAGGCTTGTCATTTGTTCATTTGGCGTCGGGCATACGTCACAAAACACGACATACAATATATTATGTACAACATACTCCACCCACTCAGGATTCCTCAACTAACCCGACTACGGACAAGACACAAAGTTTTCTTTCCGAACAAGCCACCGATTGAAGATCTTGTACGTCGAGAAATAAGTAAGCCATTCCTTTTGTTATTTAATATGCAAAGCTGCGTATTCTCTTGGCGTGCAATATCACAAGTAAATGATAACTTTATTGCACAACAGTTGTACAGGGTACAAAGTATGGCGTCTACTAAGTACATAGTAACTACATTTTCATAAGGCTAACTTATACAAGAGAGGGTGGCTAGTATATATATATAGGTATATGAACTTTTACAATCATTGGAAGAGTTCCTAATATCTACTAGTATACAGTCATCTGAAACGTGCGTATACGCGTGCAATACCATGTAAGTATACTGGTTGTGCAGATAGGGGTTCTACTAGTTCCCCACTTCAGTCACATGAATTTGCCCAGAATTTTCAGTCAACATTCTCCTTCTTTTAGGGCTGTAAATGTAGCTTTTGATTTTCAGTATTTGCTTACAGTAGTCACAGAGAAATTAAGGCCGCAAGGACATCCAGGCGCCCCATTCCTCTCATTTTACAAAATATCGCATCGCTCGTGACCCTTCACTAGTGCAATTACACAGGCATTCCACACTTTTTGAAATCAACGCTGCCATTATGATGGAGTCCTCGTGAAAGCCACCAAAAAATCTCATAGTAACTCACCAAAAAATCTCAGAATCAGACCCCCGAGGTTGTCATTAGCTCTACATGAATTGGCTGTATACATGCAGACGTGGAACCTGGCGCAAAGATTTGTTTGATCTGCTTTGATGTACCTGCGCATCCGTGTTTTCAAAGGAACTACTCACGGATGCTTTGATGTACCTGTGCATCCGTGAGTAGTTCCTTTGAAAACACGGATGCGCAGGTACATCAAAGCATATCAAACCAAGGACATTTAAAACGTCCTTGATTTAAAAAAAATGCGCCAGGTTCCACGTCTACATGCTTGTAGCCACTTCTTAGAGCTAGTGATAACCTTGGAAGTCTTGTCCGGCTTTCAGACGGCCAAAGAATGAGGGGATACCAGAAAAGCCTGCTCCTGTTGTTGGTGTTGATGACCATTGTCTTGGACGATGCCGCTGCCCAATGGGGAAGACCTCAGAGGCCGGGATGCAGTGGACGAATCGAGTGCCTCCTTGCAGGAGAAAAACGTCACCGTCGAGATACTGCAGCAGGTACAGCAACCTTTCAATTCTGGTTACATCGTTAGTTTGATAAAGTTTACAAAAGATTCAATCTGATTTTTGTCATAGCATCCCAATTAAATTCTATGTACACAAATTGTATGCTGGATATTGCTTCGTTGTACAAGGTATCGGATATTGTTTTGCAGGAGATTTTCAGGTCGAGAAGGCGGACAAAAACTACGAAAGCCTTCTGCTAGCCAAGCTCCGAGGAAATCCCTGATAAAGGGTCAACAATTTACAGGTGATAATATGTGTCATACTCTACACATGTACAGGGGAAGTAGCGCAGACAATAATCTGATCTATCTTGCTTCTAATTTCTTTTTTTTTATTTGACCTTACACGTTTCCCTACCGTCCCGTGTCTTTCTTTTTGGAGGACAAAAAGCTTATCGTAAGGTAACAGACAGTTCCATGAAACACCTAAAACAAACATATAACAGAGCAAGTGAACAACTGACCTTGATAATTTCTTCTTAATGAACTTCATAGCAGTTTCCTATGCCTTTCCAGAAATCATCTACTAATTAACTTATTATCCTTGCCTACACAGCTGTGGCTACTACCTTATAAAGGGAGAGGTCAGCAAGCCATCAATGCTGTGCATGCTTCGCTGCATCACTAGACCTAAGTCACCAAATGAAAGTCCTATGCATAGACCGTTGAATAGGGTTAATTATTGCATTGCCTTTGTCATTCTTGCAGTCATGAAGTAAACCATGCATGTTACGTGGATTGGTTAAACAATAAGAATTGTTGTTCAACTCACTAACAAGTTTCGTTTAGTCTCCTGTTTTAGAGCTTCGCCATAAGACATCCAGTAAACGTGTAATGAACCTAAAACATATTACAGTACAACTTTATTTCCGCACCAGTCCACAACAGCAAAAAGCTTTATCTTCTGTTGCAGAATTACAGAATCTTGGAGATTCCGAGAGTAAAGTTCAGCTCTTATATCTTAGTTTGAATGCTTTGCATTGCTGACAAATAAACATGTGTAATGTGCACTGTTAACATCTGTGGGACTTTGTCTTGATCATGTGTAATCTGTAATATCTGGTTTCTAAGCATAACATTCATGAAGCCATCCGTGGAGAGAATTACTGGTACTGGTGAATATGCTTACATCTACTTATATTATCGGACATTCCGAACATTTGCCTTTATGGCGTAAAACCAACAACAATCAACCAGCAGTCAAAGAATTGGCTAACAAATGAGAACTAGAATTCCGAGATCTCATACCTCCATGAAATATGATCTTGATATGTAAATGTAAATTTCTTCTTTAATTGGTCAAATGACCTCTGCATTAACATGATATATGCATCGTGATGTATGTTAACTTTTGATTAACTTACAGATGTCCCAAGTATGACATTCTCATCATTCACCATTACGAAATCATAGAATTTTCACATTAATTATGCAAATTAGGTCATCATTTACATAATTAGTATCTGTTGAAGTTCCGCCTGCCATAGGTTACATAGTATAATGTAAAACACTGTAATTATAGAATTTCCTCATTAATTATGCAAATACAGTCCTCATTTGCACAATTTGCATTTAATTATGTACATCTCTCTCTCAGCTACCTACACACCAAAAATAATGAAAATATGTTGTTCCTGTCTGGACTTATTGGCTTTTAAACATTTCGCCAGAAACTGCCCTGCAGTTCCAGAACAGGCCGCTAGGGGGCCCAAACTCATATGACTTCTTCCCAAGCACGAGAGCTACCTTCCATCAAAATTTCATGACCCTAGCATGTCCAGATCGCGAGATATCAAAACCGGAAGTTGCGCTGCAGTACCAAGGGAAGCCACTAGGGGGACCAAAATCTCATCATTTCCAGTTTTCGTCACACCCTACCAACACACCAAGTATGAAACCAATCCATCCAGGCGTTCTTGAGTTATCTTGTTGACCAACAGACAGACGGACGGACAGACAGATAAACGCAACTGAAAATATAACCCCCATGACACATTTCATGGAGGTAATAACATTCCTTTCAATGAAATTGTATCATCACTGTCACGGATTCAAACCTTGCATTGATAACAGCGCCTTTTTCTCGATTCCTTTCGTCATTTACGCAAATAATTTCGCCAAAATGTTGGGCCTCCGTCATATAAAAACCTAAAGTAAAGCGCGACAAGCTAAGTTTAAACGCAACAATTTTTACCTTCGCCAAGAATTGGAGAAGGTTATGTTTTCGTGGCCGTGTGTGTGTCTGTCTGTCTGTGTGTCAACAGCATAACTCAAGAAAGCTTAGATGGATTATCTTGATATTTGGTAGGTGGGTAGGTCTTGATGAGAGCTCGAACTGATTAGATTTTGGGCCCCCTGGCGGCTTGTCATGGTACTGCAGCTGAACTTCCGGTTTTGATATCTCATGATCTAGACAAGCTAGGGTGACGAAATTTGGATGGCAGGTAGCTCTTGTGCTGGGGAAGAAGTGACGTGAGTTTAGGCTCCCTAGCGGCTTGCTCTGGAACTGCAGGGGGTTTAAAGGACAAATGTTTAAAGGAGGATAACTCAAGAACCGATTGATGGATCATCATGATTTTTGGTATGTAGGTAGCTTGAGTAATGCTTGACATAATGATATTACAATTATGCAAATATGGATGTAATTTGCATAATTAATGAGGAAATTCTATTAATCAGCTGCATTCCATGATAGGAAGTTCAAGCTTGCGACATGTTATTAACAACGAGAGAAACACAGGCAGATATCGATTATGCAAATGAAGACTTAATTTGCATAATTAATGAGAAAATGTTATAATTGCATAGTGGTAACTGCCTGGAATTGTATACTTGGGGTGTTTGAAGTTTAGTGAAGGTGAACATAATTTAACATAACTTATTCAAATAAGGACCTCATTTGCATAATATATGAGGAAATGCTATAATGACATTCTTTGTTAAACTTTGTTGACTGTTGGTGGAGATTATGATCAACAGATATAATTCATGCAATTGAGGATCCTATTTGCATAATCAGGGGAATTAATACATTGTATATAAGTTCTTATTCATAAAAGCTAACATCATTTGGCGAAGGTATGAGATCGTGGAACTCTAGTTTATGTATTTCTTGATGGGGGAAAATTTTCAATGATGATTTTACCCCAGAAAATATAAAACGTGAGCACATATCTTGATGACTGTCACTAAAAAAGCAACATTGCATTAATGACTAGCGTCAAGGCAGCCCTCACACGCTATTTCTGTAGATGTTCAATAGCGAGTGCACAGTCACTTCGTTCTGAAACGCGCGGCAACTGTTACGATACTACGCTCGTAAAACTCAAGACTGACCCTATCAATGTTCATGAAGAAACCGTTATCGGAGAACCTCCCCGCCACGTCCCCGGCATCGAGCCAAACAAACGGTGCCGGCGCCGTGGTCTGCAACTCCAGCCGCAAGGTAGTGCCCGCTCCTGCCTTGGACGGTTCAGGAAGAACTGTGACGTTGGAAACTGTTATCTTGGCCTTCTTCAGCCCATTTGCTGACTGAAAAGGCGTCAGAAAATGTACGTTGGTTGGACCGAATGGCCGACTTTTGTTCAGGTACATAGCGCTGGTGAAGTAACAGTTTTTACGTGAAGCACATTTGCCAGTCTTCAGGAGCTGAGCGGTAGCATCGTTGAACACCATCTTTGCGGAGCTAGCTACCATATCAAAGGCTGCGGTCCAGTTTTGGAGAGGCGTAAAGCTTGACCATGTCCGGAGTTGCACCTGGAAAACATTTAAAAATTCTGCTGATGAAACAATAGCACAGTAGCAAAGGACAGAAAGACATGAAAAAGAAATTGGTGTCCGCACATTCTACCCTGTAAATGGTACAGTAAATTTCACCCTATATCATACATATAGGATAAAGTCTTTTATTTACCTGTAAGGTTACTTGGTTTTGTTTGATGGCCAAATCTGACACAACATACACCTTCAGCTGTTCTTTGTCCTCGAAGATAACAGTCATGACCGGGGCAAAGAACTTGGCAGCACAATAGTGGAGCATTTTCCACCTCCCTCCTGGTTGCCAAAAATAAGTGCAAAAATAAAGATGTACGCACCAGTCCAGGGACAGTAGAGTCGGTCAGGGAATGCTGTTTAACATCAGTGACAGCAGTGTCAGTGTGAATGCTGTCCATCGCCAGGAACAGCAGTGTAAGTACATGTGAATGCTGTTCAGCACCAGGGACAGCAGTGTAAGTACATGTGAATGCTGTTCAGCACCAGGGATAGTAGTGTCAGTTAGAATGCTGTTCAGACCCAGGGACAGCAGTGTAAGCACATGCGAATGCTGTTCAGCACCAGGGAAAGCAGTGCCAGTGTGGATGTTGTTCAGCACAAGGGACAGCAGTGTAAATAAAGCGCCCCATCGGATGTAAACAACCAACCGCAACCAAAATGAGTACATGTATTTCGTCAAATATAACTGAATTAATAATAGAATAGAAAGGCCGACATTTGCTTGGGAGCAAATACAGCATATTTCAGTCCATCTCCATCCCACGCAAAAGTGGACTATCCCAGTCAAAACTGAAAGATTCTCAATAATATAGTAACTATGTAATTGAGGACAAAGAAGCAAGAACAGGCACTTTGTGAATCTCGACAGCTTTACTTACAAAAGTTCACATCACTCTTGCAGTCTTGCAGCAATTCCTTAGGATGACGCAATTTTGGCAGTAAAGCCACAACTACCACGGCCGGCTACTAACAGTGTGTATTCTAGCTTCGTGGCTAAACTTGACAAAATCAGCACCGACGTCTGTTAGTATAGCTTGAGGCTGCAGATTATTTGATATCTTGACTGAAAACTCTACGTGTGATCAAAGAATTTGATTTGAAAAGGGAAAAATGATATTAGAAGAGACAGAAGATCACATTGCTACCTGCTGGCTATGTCGCCATCACATAGTCTCTCTCTCATTGGTTAGCAGAGACATGGGTGTGAAGTGCCCGGATGTGTACCTCAAAACTTTTCACAGAAATTAAACTTTTACAGACGGAACGTTTAGCTAGTTCCCATTTTATTCATCATCATGTCATTTTGATATAATATATTCTATCCTAGTCTTTAACCTATAGGCTCAGCAAACTGTGAGGCTCAGAAAAGATTTTGTATCAAACAAACATAAGTTAGCCAAGGCTGTAATGACAAATACATTATTTACATTATTCACATCGTTAACTCTTCACACAATGATTTCACCTGCAATCAAACAGAATATGACGATTCCTTATCATTGATTTGATCGCACACAGAATATAAAGAAACGGGGTAGAAAATTAAAATCGACGTAATAAAACTTAGGAAATATAGATTTAACTGCAGGCAACAAAGATTCAAAACTTTATGATAACAATGAACAGCCTTTTAAGATACAGGCTGCACTGATAGATATTAATCCTATATTACAGATATCATTGCCTTAAAGTTTATATTGCTACTGTAATTCTGTATATATACATAATAGACAACTAATACAAATTTCGCAACATATTCTATTAAAGGATAACAATAATGTATAACTGATATTTTCTTCCTGCAACATATCATGAAAATGTGTCTTGAAATGTCTTAGTAAAATATTAAGCATATTAAGCCGTTGTTGACTTGGGACCTCGCTTTTTGCACTCAAACCGGTACATTACGTCAGTCAGCAGGTCAACTTCCTGCAGTACCGTATCCGTCCGCTGGAGGGTCTCGTTCACAAAGTGGTCCGGAAGTGCTTCATCATCTTCAGAAACGACAACATGCACTGGAAAGGTTAGTTTACATGTATGTTTTGCCTTATGTAATACAATGTATCCTATTTTTGTAACAGGCAACGGTAAAGTTTCTTAATCAATGACTTGATAACAAGTGTGGGGATATTCCATAGCAATTTTGGGGGTATTTGATAGCAACATTTGATAGCAAATGTAGGGATATTGATACTAATTGTAGGGATATTTGATACCAATTGTAGGGATATTTAATAGCAATCATGGGGATATTTGGTAGCAATTGTGGGAATATTTCAAATTGATAGCTATAATCCTACATGCATGCCATAAATGACTACTTGCAACTGGTAAATAATGGTAGATAGTAGACTGATTTCGTGCCTTAGAAATATAAACAGTCAAGAGCTAACAAAGACTGACAAGCAAATACATCTACCGTCTGCGTCTTGGGACTCGTGGCGAATGCCCAGAAGACTCCTGATGGAGTTCCAGAAGTAATCTCCCATGGCGGTGTCCACATCAATGTCTTCAGACGTCTGACAGTAACTCAGCCAGTTACACAGCATCCCCACTCCCAGGTTCATCTGTAGGAGATTTTAATGGTTAAAACCATTAATTAAAGTGCTCATGACACCAAAAATTGGTGATTGTAATTGACATAAGTAATATTATTTGGCTAAGAGACACATTTACAATAAATATGCACGGTTGTCTTGTTGCATTCAAAATTCTAACGCCCTACCTTGGAAAAGTCAGCACAAGCTAGTACTGGCGGGTGATTTGCATCTCTACATTTTGTTTTTGCATATCTGTATTTTTTTCTGAGCTGACGTCATCCAGTGATGCACAGAAATGCAAAGATAAAACATAGAGATGCAAATAGAGATGCCCGAAGTGGGCAATTGGGAAGCTTGCAAGAGAGTCTCCAAAAACCCACTTTTAGAAGGTCGTACAAGCTCAGTTTCTCAGTCATCATGATTGGAACAAACTTTAAGTGACTATATTGTATATGTACACTTCCGATATTTGTATGTATTTCACAGACTTTTTTTGGTGTCATGAGCACTTTAAAGTGGGCTCCATAAAACTTAACATTAAACAAACTTTAAGAAACGCACACACACAAACAAACATAAACAGAAAGATGATTGTAACTAGTTTCGCTCATATAGACCCCAATTGGATGGGATTGGGTTTTTATTATACAGCTAATACACTTGGAGTCTTAGTGTTATTGGTATTAACATTAGGTGGGCTCTATAAAACTTAACATCAAACACACACAAAAACACACACACATACAGACAGACATACGCACACACAGAAAACAATACCGACGTACACGGAAGAAAAAACGTGATTTTTGACTGACCAGATAAAAGATGAAGATGATTACGAATGTAGAGTAGTACAGAGGTCCCATGACACGATCCACTTCTTTCATGTCGTCCGCAAAGACGCCGACGAACGGCCTCCCCAGCCCCATCTCAAACAGCACGTACGACGTTTTCTTGAAGCCGGAGAAGCTCTCTATGTTCTTGCCGAATATGAGGATCCCGCTGAAGCTGTAGGCCACTATAACAACCAGCATGTACACGGAGAACCCAAAGGCTTCCCCGTATATCAGCTAGAGTAGACGGAAAGAATACAACTGCTTATTTTTGTTTTACATTTATGCCTTATCCTTAGGTGGTACCAATATGAGAAATTTGGGGGTCTGGCCCATGGACTATAGCTTTGGTTCCTCCAGTGCCGCATCGGGCAGCAAGCTTCCACTTCCTTTTTTTGGCCGCTGCTACATGTTGGGATAAACAGAATAGACCAAACGTTCACATCTGTATGGCCGGTATGACCTCCTTTGGGCGTGACAGACCAGCTTGCACAAAGTCATTTACATGCAAATGTTGTTTAACGCTATCCAATTCGGGTGGAAATATGCTAATCTCCAAGCAGATTCTGTGGGGCAAGAGGAGTATTGGCCGAG